CAAATAGTTCACCAAGTAATTATTTCTCAGACTAGAGTGTTTTGAACAGTAACTTGGAGAAGGCCACAAGATTATCCTGTGTCTTCACCCGATTCCCCAATTACCATGCATCTTCTATGAAAAAAAATAAAATTGCATGGATTACCATGCATCTTTTCTTTTAGAATGTAGAAAACACTCTAGTTCAGGAAATAATTTGGTAAGAGGTCTATACCAAGATTTTTTTTCCAACGCCCTATTTGGGCGAGGAGAATTGTCCGTCCATCTCAGTTGGTAAGAGCGCAAGGCTTTTAACCTTGTGGTTGTGGGATCGAGTCCCACGGTGGGCAATTCATAATTCTGACTGCCGGAGGTCTCCCACAGAAGCTGCTCTCAACCTGGCATTAGGGGCAACCTACTATCCTACCTCACCCTTACCCCATTACATATGGGAATAGAGTCAGCTAATTTTTCTATTTGGGCGAGGAAGTCTGTGCCTATCCTAATTTTTTTTTTGAATCTGCCACTGTTTGAGATAGAGATGGGTATTTGACTAGATTCAACCAAGTCGAGATAAATTTTTTTGAGCTAATCGAATTAATAAGTTCTAATTTAGTATTTAAATTTTATTTATTTTTTGAGTCAATTTTATAAAATTAGATTCAAGTCTAATCAAGTTAAAATTTTAATTTTTATTCAGATTTATTTATAAATATTTTTTATATAGATTAATCTTATTTAATAACTCCCTTTAACTTGGGTTGGGACAACCAACCTAACATTCAATCCCAGAAAACTTGATCAAGATCCACTGAAACATTTTGGGAATTGAGGGACGGAGATTAAATTTAACCCTTAGTCTGGGGGTATCCAACGGAAGAAACAACAACGTACGATGAATCACATGAAGAAGAGGAATGAGTTCCCTTAAAGATGAGAAGATTGAGTGATTCCATGGAGAAATAGATGAAAGTTGCTTTGGGGCGAAGAAACAACTGAAATCTGTGCCCACCACGCATTGCCATCCACCCCCTTACAGCTTGTCAAAATCCTGCTCATAAACAGAAGCTATAAATATAATCCCAGAAAAATTTTCCAGGAAAACAAAACAGCTAGCAGAAGAAGATTAACCTTTTTAATATATGAAGCAATGGGAATGTAGTCAAACACTTCATAGAGATCAAGAGCTCGAGAAGCAGAAGCCAAAGCTTGAGCTTGCATCTCTAATGCCATATCTGTGTCTTCTATCACCCCTTTACCTTTCAACATCTCTTCCAAATCTCTCTCTCTCTCTATATATATATATATATATTAATTGAAAAGGAAATGAGAAACTTAATTACTTGTTGCCTCTTTCCTTGAATGAAACAATGGCTTCCTCAAGTGCTTCTTTCACCTCATATATCTCTTCAGTATTCGCTGTTAATTGACCGTTTTGAGAAGTTTTTTGGTTTTATTCAGGACTTAGCCCTTAAACTATACACGTTTCTCCATTTTGGTATTTAAACTTTTTTGTTCCGTCAAACTACCATTTTCATCTTATTTTACCTAAAAACAATACTGGCATCCGATAAGGATGTACCGTCGACACGCTTTTAGCGGCAGTTTTTGGGTAAACTGGGATGCGAATAATAATGTAAATAATAAAATGAAATAGAAAAAATTATGTACCAAAATTAGAAAACTGATATATTTCAAGGCCCAAATCATGAACTAATCCTTTCGTTTGCCCAAAAGGATAAAGTAGAAGAGGCAGAGATTAAGCAAGGAATCAATACCTTTAGTAACTTTTATAACTGATCTTATTTTGCAACTGGGAATTGCTGACCAATAAGATACAAATTTAAGAAAATAAATATATATAACTAATGAATTTTTCATTCGAGTTTAAAGCAATGCATTATTTAATAAATGATATATGTAAGTAAATTTAGTGTTACTATTTTGATTCTATATTTTACTTTATATATTTACATTCATCTAATTTTTAGAGACAATTAGACAAATATCATAAAATTATGATCTGTTTTTAATTTAATCTCTAAATTTTAAAATATTTATAATAATTTTTAAATTATGATCTTATTCTAGCTTAATCCCTAAATTTTCAAAATAGTTTATATTAATCCTCGAACTGAAATCAAGAGTTGAATTTTCAGGAATTTTTTGTTAGAAGGTCACATGTTTAATTCTCTAGATCTTAATTAAATTATGGTCTACTTCCTGCCGCAATTGGGATTGTATGGTAAGTTCCCAAGGGTTGTTGGATTTTGTATTCGTTCTTGTCTTAGTGTTGGTTTCAGTTAAAACATCGATGTTTTCGACATCGATATAGAGCACTCTTTTTCTTTTATTTAGGCTTAAAGAGGTTTTTTAACGAGGCTCATATCGATTGTCCTGACTTGTACGCATTCGATTAATAAAATAATTCAAAAACTCTTTAAAAAGAAAAGACCAATAAAGTGAATGGAAAGTTAATAAAAGGATCAAAATAAAATGAAAATAATAGTTTGACGGTTTATATAGAATATTTTAAAGCTTAAGGGTAAGTTTAGAATGAGAATCATGATTTAGGAACTAGTATAAAATGTTTTAAAATTTAGAAACCATTATAAAATAAAGGTCATAGTTTGGGGACATCCCATACAATTAACACAATTGTTCACTACAAACTAGATGAAATAATCAAATTGTAAACTACGCAGTTAGTACCTAAACTACTAATTTTGATCCGTTTTAGTATTTAACCTTTTAATTATTTCAAAATCATACCTATTGTTTATTTTTCATTTCATTTTAGTATCCATTTTTAAAAACTTAATGTGTTTTAGTACCTACAATTTTAATTTGTTCAAAACTTAATGTTAAATTTTAAACGAGTCCTAAAATGAAACAAAAACTAAAATTTTTAACAAATGATACTAAAATGAAACGAAAACTAAATTTTAAGTATTATTTAAAAAAATTAAAAGTTTAAATAAAATAGACCAAAACCGATAGTTTAGATGACATTATTATATTGAAACTCCCATTAACTTTTTTCAGAAATAACTCCCAAACCAGATTAGTTAGAATAATACTCCCAAAATTGTCCACATAAGACTACCTCACATCTTATAAAACACGTTTCATGGACCTCGCGTATTATAGGGCACGAGACCCATCAATTTTTTCAGATAAAACCATTTGAATTTGGATAAATGCAATAATAAATGAATGAAACAAGATTTTCATAAAACGTGAGGTCTAACCTCGCTTTTTGCATAATGTGAGGTCATCTTATGTGGGCAGTTTGGAGGATATTTTTTTAATTAATATGGTTTGGGGTTGTTTCTCAAAAACAATAATTAATGGAGTATTTTTAATATAATAACCCTAATTTAGATATTATACGTAAGGATGACAAACGGGCGGGTCGGGTGCAGATACCCCTCCCTCATCCCTATATCTACATAATATTTTTAAATCCACCATCTGCCCACCACCAATGATGGGTAAAATTTTTCAAATCCACACTCGCCCACGCAGGTACATTCTTAAATCCATCCCCACACCCACTACCCAACTGGAGACGTATCTGGCTAGACCCGCTTGATAACAACCTTAAGTTATACATAAGCAACAAGCATAAAACAAACACATCCATTAAGAAACATAATAAAATAAATCAAGGATTATTTGAGTTAAGTGTTAACATAGATCTTAAAGTACATAAAACACCATAATTAAAGCCTAGAAACATAAATGACAAACACATAATATTTTTGTTCTTTGGCACACATAAATAAAAAACCCTAAAATTATACCTAAATTTATAATGGTCCAAAATTTAATGGGTATTTAGTGGGCGGGCGGATGAGGGGCAGGTAAGGTCTCAAACCTATCACCTGCCCACTACCCGTAACGGGTATCACTTTCTAAATCCACATTCGCCTAATACCTATTAAAGCTATACCCATCCCCACCCCAATTGAACCGGATACGATGTGAAATCCATAAAATTATACTCGTTTGATAATAAAATCATTTTTAAATAAGTTGTTCTTTGAGATAAATTATTTCATATAAAATAAATGATTCCTTCTCTTAGCCTTAGCTGCTATATAGATAATGTTGTAATTTGCCATTAAACTGCAAGTCTTCTACTCCTGGAGTTGTTGGTTTTAATGGTTTGAAAAAGAAAAAAGAAATGATTCTCAAAGACTTTCCAGCTATGAAATCCACTGGGAGAGAAAATACATGGGTTATACATTGATTTGCATGTGGAGGTTGTGGAACCAGTAAACAATTCATTACAATGTTGTTATCCCCTATTTGTCTCCATCTCCCCTTGATTCCCCCTCCTCCGTTTCACCACCGCTTCCGGTGTGGCAACAACCACTTCCTCCACCTCCAGTTTCTGCTTCTCCTCCACCCCTACTTACACCACATTTGGCCCCGATATCAACCCCGCCACTAATTCCACCTCCTATTCTCCCGGCCTTGATTTCTCCCCCACCAGCTGTTGTTGCTGCAAGTCCAGTTACGCTTACTCCCCCACTGTTTCCGACACTGCCGATTGTGGTGGTGGTTGTTTCTCTATCACCAACACCGCCTGCCGCTGCTACGATTAGTCCCATTGTTGCTTCTCCAGTTCCACACCTCCACCGCCAACATCGGTTATTCCTCCCCCATTGCTGCCCAAATCTTCTTCTCCACCTCCTCAAGAATCTAAACCTTTTCCATCGACGCCACCATCTGTTATTCTTCCGCCCCCAGCAACAAGAGCTCCCTCTCTGCCATCGTCTCAGGCATTTCCACAGCCTGCACCTCTGTCGGCGCCAGCAGCTTCATATTCCATCGGTACTCGTAACACTCCAGGATTCTTTCAGGCATTTTCGCCGCCTGCACCACCACCATCATTAACACTAACAGCCGTAAAAGGTTGTTTACCAACCACAAAACAAACCCCACATTCTCCAATTGGGCTTATAGTTGCATGCATTGGTGTTAGAATTCTACTATTTTTTGTGTTTGCATTAATGTACATTTGTTGCAAAGGTAGAGGTAGAATGAGAAAACAGGACCCTTTGGATCAAAAGCAACGATTTTCTATCACAAAAGGTGAGTTTAATTAGTTCATCTTTGTCTCAAATCATAACTGTTAACTCCATTCATATATCTTTTTCAATGTTTGGTCGGATGTTAGATAAATTTTTTGCAGCTTCAATCCAACATAAACAAGAAAAAATTGCTCCACCGCTGCTCACCATTGCTATAGGATCTAGCTCAAATACAGCTAATACCAATGGCTCAAGTGGCATTTTTGTTAGATTTGGCTTGAAATTAAATTGGCAAGTTGAAAATTTCATCTTGGTTGGTGGCCAAACTTTGAACATGAGAATTTCATATTTGGTTAACTTATACACATTGGAAAATTATTTGGTAGGTGGTCAACTTTGAACATGAGAATTCCATATTTGATCCCTAAAATATTAGGTAATTTATAAATTTAGTCCTTAAAACTCAATTATAAATAGGCCTAAGTATTTCCATTAGAAATCATCCCAAAACAAGTTATCTCTTCCATTTGTTTTCTTCATTCTCTCACTTTGAGAATTCTAAAGAATTTCATTTATTGTAATATTTGTTGACAGTGACGTTATCATCCGGTGTGGTGCCCGAGGAGTAGACGATATTCTCATCAAACCTCGTAAATTTGGTGTGTTCTCTCCTTTATTGTTCTTTATTCGATTTTTTTCATTATGTTTCAATATTCAATAGTTTGACGGATTTGTCCGCTGTGCAACCTTTGGTGGTTTTGATCTTTACATTTTAGGTCAATTTTAAAACTACGTTCGTGTGGGAAATAACCCGATTTCCTTAACAATTTTTACTTATGAAGACCTAGTCATTGCCACCAATGGTTTTTCCGAATCCAACCTCCTTGGACAAGGCGGTTTCGGTTATGTCTACAAAGGGTTCCTGCCAACCGGACAATATGTTGCGGTTAAGAAATTGAAGGCCAAGAACCGGCAGGGGGCGCGTGAATTCCAGGCTGAGGTCGACACTATCAGCCGAGTTCATCATAAATACCTTGTTTCCTTAGTTGGATACTGCATTAATGGGGCTGAGAGATTTGCTTGTTTATGAGTTTGTTCCTAACAAAACATTGGAATTCCACTTGCATGGTTAGTATTTTATCTAATTTTCCTCTTTTTCATTCTCTATAATCAATGCTTCAATGTTTATATGTTGTAGAAAATGGTCAGCCGGTTATACTTTGGGAAAGAAGACTCAAAATTGCTATAGGATCTGCAAAAGGAATAGCATATCTCCATGAGGACTGTAAGTCCATTCGGATTTTGAAATTTCCGGATCACTTCGGGTATCTTTCAAAATTCATAATCTAGTTCTAGCTGTGGTTGAAGTAGATTCTTTGTACAGGTAGTCCGACGATCATTCATCTTGATATCAAAGCATCTAATATTCTTCTTGATCCCAGATTAGAAGCAAAGGTAGGCCTCAAATGACTAGAAGCACTGAAGTGGGAGTTTTGAAACGTTTCCACTAGTCAATGAACTGTGTGTTTTTGCATTCAGGTTTCCGACTTCGGACTTGCCAAAATTTTCTTAGATGCTAGCCCATATGTTACACACATCTCTACCAGAGTGATGGGAACTTTTGGGTTAGATTCTTTCTTTTCTTCCACAACCGTGTAACCAAATGACCATTTTCTTATACATTTGCTCTGATGGCATGCATAATGCAGATACCTTGCACCAGAGTATGCATTAACCGGTAAGTTAACTGATAAATCAGATGTATATTCCTATGGTGTCATGCTTTTGGAGCTTATAACCGGACATCGGGCAATCATCGAGCTAGAATCGTCAGTAAATCATAGCCTGGTTGATTGGGTAAGTCTCGTTTGATTTAACTGTTAGTTGTTAGTTAAGGCTTAGGGACGCTCCTCGGAGCCTGCACTCTTGCATTTTATTCTCTACCTTCTCTTTGCGGATTTAAACATCAAAGAGCATTTCACAACACAAGCTTGAGGAAATATCCGAATACAGTCTGACAAGGCCGGCCTAATTTGGTCGAGCTGGAAGTGTGTCAACAACGTTGTTTTTGGGTATATACTCTTTGGCATTAATCGGCTGCAATTCTTATGATTGTGTTGCCTGAACAAACAAGGCCTTTCCTAGCTCGTGCACTCGAAGATAATGATTTCGAGGCTCTCGTTGATCTGAGGTTAAACGGTGCTTACAACAATAGCAAGATGGCAACCATGGTCAGTTGCGCTGCTGCTTGTATACGCCAATCAGCATGGCTTAGACCTCGAATGATCCAGGTATGCACATACATACATACATATAGGATTTTCGTTGTTAGAAATGGAGTTTCAAACCAATATTATTTCTCTTAATTTTGTCCGAAAAATGATGCAGGTTGTTCGTGCTCTAGAAGACGACATTTCGTTGACGACGTTGTCGAACAGCTCGTTGAACACATCTTTAGAAATGTTCATCCAAAATGCTC